GCTTTCTGGGACATCAGTGTTAGAAAGGACCTTTCATTTTCACTCAGAATGTCTCAGCTTTTGGAGGCATTCTTGTCTTTCACAGCTGCTCTGACCTGTAGTTTTTCTGTTTGTTCCTTGTTGCATTATGTCCAGTGATAGAACACTTACTCTTTCCTTAGGCAATCTGTTCTCTCTTGGGTACAATTCAGAGAAAGTTCTTTTTTATCAGCCTCCTGGTAACTTTCAACCATTGGCTCTAGTTCTATCATTTGGAGCCACTCAGTACAAATTGACTGCTTCTTCCGTGGACTTTGAAACATGTAGAGACAGCTCTTGCTTCCTTTCAGATGCTCCCTTCTCCAGGCTGCACAGCCTTTGCTTATTCAGTCATTCTTCTTATGACAGACTTTTGTTCCCTCTTTACTTGGCTCTCTACTCTGGACATGTTCCAGTTTTGCCATTGTCTTTCTTAAAGTGACTTAACAGTGTTAGAGAGTGGCTAGGACCATGGCCTTTTAAGCTGCACCTGTGTCTTCGTTTATAGTTCTGTAACCTTGGCTAAGTTATGTAGCTTCCCTGAACCTCAACAATTTCATCTGAAAAATGAAAAAAGAGTACCTCATACATTCAGTTGTTGTGAGCAGTAAATAAAACCATAGTAAAATAATCAGAAGAATACCTGGCACAACAAAGATAGGCTCAAAATATGGCCATTGTGATTAAAGTAACTACTATTAATTCTCTAGGTATGGCTTCCACAACAAAATTTGCATCACTGTTATTAGATTTTTTCATTTTAGATTGAAGTTTACATATAAGCAGTTTGAGTTTCAGTGTTGAATAGGCTGACCTTAGATAAGTACAATCCAATTTTAGTGTCAAAGGTTTTATATATATACACACGTGTGTGTATGTGTGTGTATGTGTGTGTGTGTGTTATTCCATAGTTTTCTATAGCCTCTTTTCTTTATTACTCTCACATTCCAGTAACTAGGTGTTCCAATAACTACATACAACTAGGTGCTCCTTTCTCTCCTTCTCCTCTATTTTCTACCTTCTTGTTCTCCAACCTGCGCCTCCCCCCATCCCCCTGCCCCAGCTTGCATAAGGTAAGAATCATGCCTTGCCTGCTCTTTGGAAAGCAAAGGACGATGTCCGTTTGTAGATAGGAGATGAGATCTTGTCCTAACTCATCTGTGTGTTAGCCTGATGACTTTGGACAAAACACTTTCTCTTTGAGCCTCAGTTGTTTTTTAATCTTTGAAACTGATGAAGGAAAGTGTTGATTCTTTCCATATCTAAAATTCATTCTATTTTCTGCAATCTAGAATTCATTCTGAGATGTGTGGTCTGGCCCCCATGGTTCTGTCTCTGTTTTAGGTTCCCATTGTGTTTTAGGTTCCCATTGTGTTCCCATTTTCCAGTGAACATTTTACATTTATTGTGTACCTAGGTAACACTCCACAGCACTACACTTCAAGACAGCAGGAATGTCTAGATCTCTTCTGCAGGTATCAGCTTTTCTGAGTGGCTTTGAATTCAAGCCTTCTGTTGAAATTGCCATGTCATCCTGAAGCAAAGCAGTGTGGAACATGATTCCTATCATTTACCTTCTTTCTCATTCAACCTCTTTGAGGGAAACATTTCTTACTTGCTTTATTTGGATGTACCTAATATTTTAAATGAATCCTTTATTTTAGATTGGTTTTTAATTTACAGAGAAGTATAGGTAGTACGGAGTCCTCCTATACCCTACACCCAGTTTTCCAGTGAACATTTTACATTAGTGTGATACCTTGTTACAATTAAAAATCAACATTGAGGGCAACCCCCTTGGCTTCCCTCCCACTGTGGGAATTTTTCTGTCCTCTCAATAAATACTACTTTCTAAAAAAAAAATCAACATTGATACATTATGGTTATCTAAATGTCATATTTTATTCAGATTTTCTTTGTTTTTACCTAATGTTCTTTTTTAGTTCCAGGTTTCCATCCATAATACCACATTACATTTAGTTCTCATGTTTCCTTAACTACTCCTGTTTGTAACATTTTCTCAGATTCTATTTTTCTGTGTTGGCCTTGACACTTTTGAGGAGTACTGGTCAAGCATTTTGTAGAATGCCCTTTAATTGGCATTTTCTGGTATTTTCCCTGTGATTAAACTGAAGTCATGGGTTTTTGGGAGAAGATCACAGAGGTAAAGTGCCATTTTCATCACATCATCTCAAGGGTGCATACTATCAGCATGGTTTATGACTGATGATCACCTGACTAAGATAGCGCTTTGTTTGTAAAGTTTCTCCACTGTAAAATTAGTCCGCTCCCCCATTTCCATACTGAGTCTTTGAAAGGGGATCATTGCACAGTCAATGGAAGTTTATTTTTTATTCACTTCCCTGTCCAAGGTGGGTATTTTGATGACTGTTGTCATTTCTCTACTAGTTATTCAGGAACCCAGCGTTCTTCCATTCTATTGCTCCGACAACCCCTAGAGATATGTTATCTTAATTCAACCAGCATTAAGAAAAAGAGAATGTGGAGGAGAATGTTTGCTTTTAAAAGCCTTGGCCTGAAAATGGCACACATCACTTCCACTTACATTCCATATGACACTCATTCATCTGCCAAACCTAACTGCAAGGGAGGCTAGGACATATGGTCTAGCTGGGTGCCCAGAAAAAAGAGGAAATGGATTTGAGTGAAATGCTAGCAGTGTTTGCCACATCACTTTAGAGCACAAAAGGTAACAAATAAACTCCTCTTCCTCCACCATCTGATAATATAGCCATCTTTTTATTAAAAAATAATAATGGAAAGGCATAATCTTAACATCAAAGAGTCATATAAAGTGAAAAAGTTAACTTAATAAAAAAACTTATTCTATTTTCTCTGTTTTTATTAATGTTATTGTTGATCTGAGAGCATTTGTTGAGAACAGGTATTTAGTCTCATGTCTACATTTGAGAACCTTATATTCTGCGTGTACCTGACTTTACATCATTCCCAAAGTCTGCCGTGTTTTTCTGTCTGAAATGCCCTTCCTCTGTTTTCTTTATCTGTGAAAATCCTATTCATTCCTCAAGTGACTGAAGAGATGCCTTCACTCAACCTTCAGACAATTAGTCCCTTGCTGTTTGATGCCATTATGCCATTCTGCTTCTCTCTCTCATTGAACAACTATCCCACACTAGTGTTACATATAAATACATTTCATACATTGGACTGAGTGCTCCCTGACGACTGTACAGGTTTTATCCATCTCTTAGATCCCCAAGCATAGTCTTACGAATAACATATATGTTGGTTGAATATACCCAGGATGTTAGATGCGCTAAAAAGTGGTCTCATTTTTTTAACCCCTTTCATTCAAATATAGCAAAATATGTTACCTTCACCCACATCTTAAAAGAGATTCTCACTTATGATGGCCAGCCTTCATGGAGGAGATGATCTTGAGTTGAGCCTAGAAAGGCTGGTAGGACTTGATACATGGTAATAGAGGTACAAGATGTTAGGCAGGCTTCATAGCTTTCTGTGACCCATCTTTGGTTCAGGGCATTTGTGCAACAGATAGTCAGGTCTTCTTGGAAGTTTCTGTAGTACAGGATGTTCACTTTCATATATCATCACACAATTGAAACGTAGACTTTGAGCTTGTTCTGGAACTGCTTTCAGAAGTAGGGGTTGGTATAAAAGTCTGATGCTCGTTATCCTGAATGGGAGTTACCGACCTGAATTCCCAGGGCCCAAACTCAGGGATGACTTCATCATGGCTAAAGAAGTGTTTAATTACAGGCACAGAAAAAGGAGCATGAAGAAAACAAACAATCATTTGCAGGTTTTAATGACTTAGCTGCCACGCATCTCATTACCGATGACAATATGACTTCTTGAATTGACCTTATCAAGATTATTATAAATAAAATATGAATTATAAGACAGCTGTTCCTTTTCTTCCTTCCATCATTTTCTACCCTCTACTTTTAGCCCACTGTTTACTTTAATGGTTTTACAAGCTCAATTGATATTTTACTACGGCAGAAATCAGCTGAGTCTCTTCTCAGAATGCTTCCTTTAACTCACACTCTTTCCTTGATTTTCATAGTTGAAATATTTGACTTTAATTAGGATTTATATTTTATAAGGTTTTATAGTTCATACTATCGCTTGAAATTCATTGATTAGAGTAAAAGTAGGAATTTTTTTCTTAGTATACAGATACAAAAACTGAAACTCAGATGTTAAATGACTTGCTCAGGAACACACAGCATTTGTGGTTCAATGCTGGGTCTTCCGACTTTAAATCTAGAGTTGAGTATGCCACATCAGAATCTGCCTGTCAGTCTGGTAGCCCTCATGACAGTGGCATACAGAGAATTATTTGCAGTGAGGTTAGCTAGCTACATGTTTCTCTGATGTGTCCATAGTATGTGGGATTAGTTGAACCTAGGCCAACGATGTAATGTACTCAAAATGAATAGAAACTCAGGACAGACCTAAGGATCATTTAGCTTAACTTCCAGATTTTTATTGATAAGGAAATTGAGGCCCATAAATTCAGTACATTGAATTATTTAACGCATAAAGATAACATGTAGTTATTAATCAGAATGGCTGATACCGACTTTCATTCTTTTTTCATTATCCTGCTTCCCCATTCCCATATTTCTTGACTTCTCTCTTGCTTCTTAGGACTACTTTGAAGAAGACATGCTGATAGAAGTAGAGGCATTGCCCTGTATTCCCAAATATGTGTGATCAAGTCAATGTGTAAAAGTCTAACTATAGACATATGTTATAAGGGGTAGGCCCATTTCCAAAGAATTAAACACACCAAATGCTTAACCAGAATTATCTTTTAGACCTAAACATCAATAAATGTTTTCAGTTTTACACATAGTAAGTAGCATATTGCCTGACAGAAAAAAGAAATTCTTAGTAAATACTGATTGAGTAAGTGGATGAAGGATGAAGTTGATTAGCATAAATTCAGTGATTGTCCTTCTGAGGATACCATGTTACTACTTCAGCAATCATATGATTTCCATCTTTGCTTCAATTTTTATCACCAGAAGCAGCATTTTTCTTTTTCTCCTCATTTTAATGAAATAATTAGTGCTATAAATACACTGGAAAAGTTCATTTTGCTCAACAATAGAGACAAAAATGGTGATGCTGTGGAAGCTAGATTGTTGCTGGCAGCCAGAACCACAATGAGAAAGCCTTAAATATTTATATTAGCTGATGTACAAAAATTCAAATGTGGCATACAATGGTTAGTTTAATAGTATTTGTGTGTAGAGAGTTTTTGAAAGTTGAAGACCACTTCTAGTTTGAAATACTTAGAGAAATGCTTATGACTTGATTTCCTCCCACCCCCAATACTAGAGAAATGACCTTTGTTGTACTGAGACTCTGCTCTGGGGCAGTATTTAAGGAAGGTGAAATTTGCATTTTCACATACTTTCCAGTGGCATATCATGGCCATGGGGTTTTGCTTTTGCTTGTGGTTCTCATCTAAGCTATTCTCTCTAGCTGAACTTGATCAGAATTTCAAAACCCAGGAGTTTCTGATGGAGAGCTGACACATGGTAGAAATAGAAGTCTTTCTGCATGTGATTGTGACTGCCAGAAACTTAGGATTTACAGTGGCATTTTGGCCTAAATAATAATTTTGGAATGGGACCATAAACTTGGTGAAATCTTGAGGTCAGACACCAGATGCATGAAAGAGGGAAATAATTCACTCTTTAGCACGCCTTTGTATTTCACGAATTTTGATTAGCTTTTATTTATTTACATTTAGTTCACTGCTAAAAGTATTATGGCGCTGCCACTAGAAGGGAAAAAAGTCTATAGATATGTTACTAAAATACCTCCCTCCCAAATAATTATTTCAATATTTAAGCCATTGGCATTTATGCATTTAGTTATAGAATGTTTTTAACAATTTACAAGTGTGAATTTTATAAGCAAAATAAAAATTTGAATAATTATTTTATTTTGCCTTATAGAACCCCAGCTGAAAGGAATTGTGACAAGGTTATTCAGCCAGCAGGGATATTTCCTGCAGATGCACCCAGATGGTACCATTGATGGAACCAAGGACGAAAACAGTGACTACAGTAAGAAACATTCGCTTCTTGGCACCTAATTCCAAATCAAATGTATGGTCCTGTGTATCTTGTATTTAGAGCATGTTCAGGCTGCCTTTTGAGCTATTGGGAAGTATCTTTTCCTTTAACCTTCTTGCTATGATTCTCTGCAGCAAAGAGGCAATATGGGAGAGAGGTTATATACTAAAAGAGAAGATAAGAGGCTTGATGGAGTTCCAGTTGGTCAATGGACAAGAATATCCTCCCATCAAAGTGTTTTTAATCATATTGATAATAAACACTCATGGGATCAATACTGACACAAGATGATATTTATGTCCTCGAACCAAGTAATGAACAACACATACTAATTCTCAGAATATAATTGCTGGCAGACAAAAATTACTTCTTAAGGTTAACATTGAATACATACATATATATGTCTTATGTTATTTTACTTTGATTAAGGACAAAATTATTATGATTTTAAAAGAAAATGCATTTAAATATCATGATGATGCTTTATAGTATATAAGAAGAAGAAGATAATGAAGACTGGTTCACCTGAAGTGGAATTTTTAACATAATTTTTTGCAATAAAAATGCTGAGCATTAAAAGATTAATAATAATATTTTTGAAAATAGTTTTTAAGTCATTTAACTTTTGATTGACAAGTTAAACTAAATGTAGTCATCAAGGCATGACAGAGTGCATTTGCATTTAGAAAAATTTCAAATATAAGCATCAGAGGCAAGAAGGATTGCTTTCATATCTTTCAACTTCTGCATAATTATATACAGATATATTAGGACAAAGTCATGTTATTCTAAAGTTATGTAGGGTGCCACATTGTTTCATAAAGTATATCCATATTCACCACTAGATCTTTAGTGTTGGACACACAGTAAATGTTCATTCAATATCTGTCCAATTGAGTTGTGATTCTGATGGATGTGATGTAATCAGACTGACAATCTACCAGATTGCATAAAGTAATTTAGGAAACCTGATATTTGATAGTGAAATATCTTTTAAATTAATAAGAACAATTTGAGGAAAAATTCAAAATCCCTAATGTGTGGAAATGCTCTTGTCCGCCCCTTCTAAGTTATTCTTTGTTCACTTAATATTACACATTACAAATATGATTTACAGTAAATAAAAGATCATATTATGAAGACTTTTATTCCAATTATCTTGCTCTCAGTTTGAAAAGTTGTTGATTGACTCATTGTGGTTTGCAATGTTGGTTTGTGTTTGTATGAATGCATTCTCTAACTGATTCAAGTTTTTAACTCATTCCAGAAAAATCAGGATGCTTTTCTCTCCATGTGTGATCTTCATCTATTACCTCTATACTTGAATGTATATTTAATGAAGCTACATGTATAGATGGAAAGAATCAGATAATTGCTTAATTGTGTCACTCGCCCAGCCTATGCTGAAATATCTCTAGATCTCAAGGTTTTTCTTCCATAAAATGAGGTGGCTGGCTGGACTCGGTGGCTCAGCCTGTAATCCCACACCTTTGGGAGGCTGAGGTGAGTGAATTGCCTGAGCCTGCGGGTTCGAGACCCGTCTGGGTAACTTGGCGAGCCCTCATCTCTAAAATTAATCAAAAAAAATCAGCTGGGCATAGTAGCGCATGCCTGTAATTCCGGCTACTTGGAAGCCTGAGGCGGAAGGATCGCCGGAGCCCAGCAGGTGAGACTGCAGTGGCTGGGAGCGGCCACTGCACTCCAGTCTGGGTGACAGAGTGAGACTCCAATTAAAAAAAAAAAAGAAAATGAGGTGGCTGGAAGTGATGATAATATTAGCATCCCCTGCCAGCACTGTCTATCCAACTTAAAAAAAATTGAAATATAGCACATTGTATAAAGATGTATTTAATACTCAATTAAGCCAAATAACCACATTCAGCCTCACAAGTTTCTACCTTAACCCAACCCAGTTGTCCTGCAGGCACATGACATTTATCATGGGGCAGGAGTAGAAGGGTGGGAGTGCAAGTGTGGGGATCAAACTAACACAAATCCTTCCTTCACTGTTACTAAAAAAATAATTATAAGTACTTGGTCAGATGATGCTTGGTCAACTGTTAGTGTAAATATATACACACACACATATATGCACATTTATTCATATATGCATATTTATGTATTTCTATATTTCAGCAAAATGATACCACACACACGTTTACATACACACACACCACACACACACATACACAAAGGGGAATGCATTCTGTCAAATACATACTTTTAAAAACTATCTGAACTCACACACTTAAACTATTTAATTTTTATAAGCTACTAAACACATTTCAATAAGTTGTTATTAAAATTGTTAAGATGTACAAAATATAAAGACTAATATAAGTTTATCTGAATATACACCAACAGCTTAAAAACTAATTAAAATATCAGTACATTTGAACTTCCTGGTGTGAGCTCTCTGATGGAATTCTGCTTTCTTTCATTACAATTCATAATAACTATCTTGAATTTGGCATTTTTATTTATATGCAATGTAAAAAAATTTTCATATACATATCTTAAATCATTCATAATACTGTTTTACATATTTTAAAACTTTTTATAAGTGAGAGCAGTATCATATCTTTAATGTATTTTAATCCCCAATATTATGGTTTTGAGATTTGTATATGGTAATAGACATTCTTTATTTCATTCAGTTTTATAAAATATTCTGTTGTACGAATATGCCCAAACATATTTATTCATTCTCCTTTTGGTGAATAAGTATCATGCCTATTTCAAGGCAATTACAAAAAGTGCTGCTAAGATCTTTCTTATAGATGCTGAAGAAGCTTTCCTTGACCATCCTTTAAAAATTGATACTTCTCTAGTATCACATGTTCTCACTCATAAGTGGACCCTGAACATTTATCATAATAGTATAAGAAAGGGATTGGCAGTAGTGGGATATTGTTGGGGTGGGGTGGGGCAGGGGAGACACAACATCAGTAAGCATACCTGATCTCAAACCAGGCAAAGTGGGACCAAAGAGAGGCTCAAACTTTGCCTGTACGATGGTCACTTGTATACCTAATCCTGAATTGTACTCTATATCTTTAAAATAAAAAGTAATACAAAAATAAAAAATGACACTTCTCACCTTGGCACTCTCTATTCTGATACCTCATTTTATTTCTATTCATATCTCCTATGACCATTCGACATATGTATTGTGATTGTTTATTTATTCATTTTTGCCCTTCTTCCCAGGAGAATGTAAGTTTTATAAGTGAAGAGATTTCGTTTTGGCCCTTCATGTATCTGTAGAACCTAGAATGGTCTCTAGTAAGCATCAATACAATGGAATGAATAGATAGATGAATAAATGTCTTTTTGTGAAAAATATGCAAAAGTTTCTCTAGGTCATTGGTTAAAGCACTTCTACCAACACACATTTTTTTTTAACTTTTTCTTTTGAAATCATTTTAGACTTCAGAAAAATTACAAAGTAATATTATTATTATTATTTATACTCTTTAGTCAGCTTTCTTTCATAGTATTGTTTTACACCAAAGCAATACAATGATCAAAACCAGAAAATTAATACCAGTACAATACTATTTACTGAGCTTTAGTCCTTATTTTGATTTCATTAGTTTTTCAACAAGGGTACTTTCTTCTGACCCTCCCTTCACATATTTTAATATAAATTTTACAGTGAAAAGAAATAATTCTTTTATGTACTTTTTCTGAGTGAGAATTGGGGTAAAAATATCAGAGAGGGATTTAAAGTCTACTCATGTTTTTTATAGAAAAATTATAAGCCTCTAAGTTGTTAAAATGCCTTTTCTTTCTCCACTTTGTGTGGGTAGGAGTAGAAGCAGTTGATTGTTTGAAAAAAATCTTGTTACTATGAGCATCTGTCAGAAAAGTGTTGTTTGGTTCACTAGACATCATTAGGTCCAACCAACCTTACCATAGTCTCTTGCACAGAATTGATAAAGACACCTGTTCTTTTGTTCATGAAGAAAAGACTAATTACATGTAATTGAGTACAAACGCAAATGGATTTGTCGGCAGTAACAGATAAAAATCTCTGCAAATGCAATGATAACAAAAAAATGCAAAACTGTGTTGGAACACTAAAACAAAAAGACAATAGAATAGCGGTTGGAGGGTATTAATAGGAATATTTTGCATAAAAAAAGCTAATTATTTTGTTCCATGAATTAACCATAGAAGAAGAAATATTTAAAGAGGTCAAAAATGCTGGGAAGAAAAAAATGAAGATATTATAACCAAACGCATTGTTCTCTTTTCCTCTGAACAGAAAAATATTAAGAGTCTTATATGACTATGGAATGGGCTGCCTGACAAGTTAGTGCAGTGCTGAGCCTGGAGATATTCAAGCAGATCAGATACTATATTGGCATTTAAAGCAAACAAGGAGGGAGAGGTTTTCAAGAAAATCCCCTTGGTATAGGAGGGGGAAGCAGAGTGGTGGTGTTGTGGGGGATGGCTTCAAAACTCAGTGACATTTAAGGTGCCCTCTAGACCTGATATTCTTCCAACAATTATTTTGAGTAGGTAAGATAAGTATGTGGTATAAAAGTCATAAAGGCACAAAAGGGTATATAGTCAAGAATGAGCAAATAGTCCGTGATAGGCAGAAGCTGGCTTGACACTCCCAGCAAACATTGGTGTCCTTCTACTGAAAATAGACAGTTTTACAGCATGCAACATGGCATACACAATTAGACAAGGCCACTGTGACATGATGAGTCAAGATAAAAGCAAGATAACTCTGTAATCATGTCTGAACACAGACAAAAACAAAAACATTGCCCAATCTACAAAAATATTTCTGTGTCCTAGATCATGTGAGTAGGCAAGCCTTCTTTACCAAACACAGCTTTAATCTTGCTGTGTTCTTTTTGTCTTCTAGATAAGCCTTATTAACATAGTAATCATAGAATTACACCTACTTTCCTAGAGCATCCAGTCTGGGGCAAATCTACCTATCTGTGAGCTCTTCCTGAAATCACTTAACA